AGTTTTTTTTTGGCTATATTTCAAATAGATGAATGTGGATCAGCTTCAGAGTCGCTTGGTGCTAAGGATTATCCTCGTTTGTGACAGGTTTAGTACGACTATACCGTTTTTCGTCAGAAAATTCATCATGAAGCAGAATCCTCGAATTTGTCGATGTAAACTTTATCGCATCTAAACAACTAATTATCATACGAAACCCACAAATTGAAAATTGTGGTTTTGTCTCAATAGAAATGAACATAATCGTATTGTGTTTGCTTCTTTTCGACTCTATTCTATAAGTAGCCATGACAGTTAAATGGTCCAAAATACACCAAATCACCGAAATTGACTTCTTTCAGATGTTCCTAGACTGTTATAATTCAACATTGTCGATTTGAAAATTTATAATCTTCAGGTTTAAATCCTCAAAATGACTCTATGCACCCAATTATCATATAAAGGACTATTTTACTCTGAAGATTGAAAAAATGCACCAAATCACGGAAATTGACTTCTGTTAGATATTCCTAGACCGTTATAATTCAACATTGTCGATTTGAAAATTTATAATCTTCAGGTTTAAATTCTTAGGATAACTCTATGCACCCAATTATCATATAAAAACTAGTTTCAATACGTTACCTTCATTAACTCATTGTAGAATAATAGTTTCTCCTTTCTATAATTATCAGATTTGGTCCCATACTTTTGGCTGTAGTGTATGTTTTATATATGGCAGTGGCGTGTCACCCAAGGGAATCGATCTTCTGAAGAATCGAATCAGAATCGAGTATCCCTAGTTGACATACCAAAAGTCTCTGTTATCTCGTTCACTTTCACTCTACGGTCTGCCAAAACCATTCTGTGGATTTTTTTCAATCATTTCTGCCGTAGTCACCTCAATGGGACGTCCACTGCCCGGTTCATCATTGGTGATCCTCCAACCCATTTTGAATTCACCGCTTAACCGTTGTACTCGACGGAGAAGAGTCCCCCAATGTTGAATCGAGCTCATTTTTTATATCGATTGCAGTTATGCCGTTCAAAAGAAAGTTTGATCACAGCACGAATTTCCAATTTCTCCGTTGTTTTGATACTGCTTGAGGCGTTTATTTTGGCGGACAGTCAAACCAATGATAAACAACGTATTGACTTGGTAACTTTCAACGCAAACGAACGAAGGATGAAATCATGTGTCACGCCCAAATCCAAGGGGTGTAAAATAAAGAAAGCAGTAGCGTTGCTTCTTATTCTATTCACAAACTAATGCGGAGATTTCAACTTAATCATCTATTTTCGTGATACCACAAATTTTGTGTGAAATTAGGGGTATGATTTCCGGACCGTAGTAAGGAAACACGCGCAAAATTCTATTAGAACTGATTTTATTAAAGGATGAGATCGTACCGTAGCTAATACAGTTCACCAAGTGTCTCCATTACAAAGGAGTATTTATCTTTTATGAGTGCCAGTATCTATGATCTGTTCCATTAAAGAAGAGCCCTGAGGGTTTTCCCTTCCTCGACGCGTGGCCTGGTGGGGATCCAACGCGAGCTGCGTATTTCGTGCGACGTTGTCACGGTCCCAATGACACTTTGCGTCTCTTTCCATCCTTCGGCACGAGCATCACGAGAGCCTCTCGCTCAAACGCTCGGTAAACCAACTTCCTACTTTACCCTGCGATTTCTATGTGTAGCGTTTAAAAACCTACGTACAGTAGACATTCGTTTCCCGCACTAGTCGGGGCTGTAGAGGACCAGAATTTCAGGAACCGTGCAGGAATCGGTGACCAGTTACCCGAGCGCTTTCCCCACCACTCGGCTGTTCAATCGTGCGAAGCATCTACATATAGGGTGAGGTGGATATGCGTACTTTCCGGTTACATTAATTATCTCCGTTATTTTTAGAGATATCAGAAAAGTTTATTTACAGAAGTTTTTCAGTATGAAGAGGGCTATTACTTAGCAGTAACAAGTTTTTCGTAGGTGTAGTATCTTCTAAGTTTTCAAAGTTAATTGTGTTATTTTTATTAATAATATTGAAACATTATGGAATAAAATACTTTTATTACATAAATCGATTCTTCCAAACATTCTGCATAATAAAGTATTACGGTATTATGTGAAAAAGGTAATAATTCGTGATATATTTTAGTGGCAAATGTCTAGCTTGGTTAGCATCTTTTACCCATTACGTGTGATCCTTGAGACAAGAAGCAATCATATTGCTACCAATATTCATTGCACCAATATAAACATGATTAAAACAGTATTATATACATTTCGCTTTCTGTGATGAGATATGCGTGTTAAACGCGACACCGTATGTGTTCCGGCCTGGGCGTGCTGGGCGACAGAGTAGGGTACGCGCGTGTGTGTCAGAAATACATGTAAACAAGGGGCGTGGCTTCCGTGCAGATAACGGTAGGGCAGGAAACGAATTTCTACTGTATTAACCCTCTATGGACTGAATTTTTTTCAAGACTATAACAAAATTTATGTAACGTAAAATCCACAAATATCAACATATAAATACAGATTAACAATAAATTCAGCAGTTTCAGTTTTTTGTTCATAGTTCAGGTTAGACCTGATAACCGTTACCAAGAATGTTATTGGTTACCAAGACATTTGTATACCTATGTTTAACAGGTATAGTATACGTCACCTTGTGGAAAAAACCCAAATTATTTAATAAAATAGCGATATATTAGTACGTGACTTGAAAGTTACATGGGCCCATGGAGGGTGAATTTAATCCCCTTTTAATACGTTGCTCAATATTTGGGTACAATACATTCTTTCAAAAGAAATAAACTTTTTCTTATTCATGTATTTTAACTCATGGCATGTAAAAACGTTCATCGTCTCGTCAACATTCTCCGTCATTTCCAGACAATGAATGATTGACGGGCGCGTGCCAAACGCAGTCCCCACTACTTGAGATTGTAGGTAGGTCCTTCTCGAGAGGTTTGTAATACGTGCGATGGAGACAGACGACCGTATACGAGAACGCACGTGACAGTCGAACGTCATTGGCCAAGGCGCGAAGAGTGAGAGAGACACAAGCGCCGAAGATGTGTCGCGATCGCGACAACACCGCGAAAAGTCGGGCCTACCTTCCAGGGCTCTTCTTTAGTGGAACCAGGGGACGGAAACTCCCCTCTACAAAAACTTGGGCCTTTACCGTAGCGCCACCAACCTTCCATCCTCCGCAATGGTACTAAAATTCGATATATATACACATGGCATATATGTATATAAGATGTCCTATATATACGACTTTGTGTATATAGATATACTCTCTGAACAAAATTTAAATGGGAATAAAGTGAATGTTCGGAATCGCAGATTTATGATTCATATAATTTTTTATATGAGAAATTATACAGATCATAAATCTGCGTTTCGAAGTATCCACTCGTAAAGAAAAAATTACACATTTCGAATTAAGAAACACAAAAATTTTAATAACAAATGGAATACAATTTATATACCTTATTATATAATATACAGTAATACTACTTATAACTAGTGTACATATGTAGGATTTATTTGTAATATAATACAAAAAGGAAAATAAATGTAAGAATAATATAAAATTAAGATGATAAAGGTAAAAGAACAAAACGGTAACGCAAAGCAAATCGTAGCAATAATCGTAACACGTCTCTCGTACGCCTATTCTTCACAAGGCTTACAACGTACTGTCCTTCCTCGAAGAACAATACCGCTACCGATTTTGAAATCAGATGTTCGTTGTCCTCACATAAGTACGCCCTCACACATTACACCACATTACACTCCTCGCCAGCTGTCACGTTATGACAGTCATGACAGTGTTTACCATAGACATCTATAGACGGAGCATAAGCTATCACTTTGGGCGAGGGGACCGTAGGATTGGAGGGGAAAAAACAGCGGTCGTTAGAGGTACGTCGGTTAGCTTCGGATGCATTCGGTTCGATTCGGCTCGTTATTAATGGCTGGTGGGCTGTGTGCCGTACTATTATTTAATGCTTTATACTATTTACTAATTTTGTTAAATACATATATCTATACAAACTACATGACACACGGAATGTTTAACGTATAATAGGTATATTCTTTTCATCTCTCATAGCATACATGTATGTAACGTGATTGTACAGCCGAATAGCACCGAAAAGGAACGAAGTTACCTGATTTACCATTATCCACCCCCTTACCGCGAATCTTACTCCCCTACTCAGTTAATGCTCCATCTATATATGGACCGTTTATTTTGAAAGTGGTGCAAGTCCATTTTCCAATTCCATTTCATTTTATTTTAGTTTACACTAAATTAAGCATAAATTACGTCATTGGACCGTTTATTTTGAAAGTGGTGTAAGTCCTTTTTTAACAAAAATGAGTAACTAAAATGTAGTTTACATTTTTAATAAAATGTAAACTAAAATAAAATGAAATGGAATTGGAAAATGGACTTGCACCACTTTCAAAATAAACGGTCCATATGTCTATGGTGTTTACCCCCGCACTATGCCCCGCAACACTTGGCTTCCTGCTCTGTTGTTCTGGTTTGTACCACGGTGTCGCCACAATCGCCACAGTCGTAGCGCCACCACTGTCCTGTCCTCGGTCGAGGAACTAAACCGTAAAAACCCGAAAATTCGGCGAGAGTTTCCGACCCCTTTGTGGAACAGACCATAGAGTGCTGACGTTGCTGCGTAATGGTTTGGGCTGATGTCATCTGTCGTGACACATGCAACGTTAACAAATATTTATGTTATTAGCGACCTTTCTGTGCGAGGTCCGAGACTTTTCACTCTACCCTCGTATGTCATTCCCGTCGAAATTTGAGCTGCTACCGAACGACGAAACCACGTGTGGATGCTTTCTCGAATAGGTACCCGAAAAACGAAGGAATCGCGTGTGGATGCGCTTTCGTTGATAGCGAACAAGTTATAAGCTCGATAGGATGGAGTTTAATTCGTTGTGACTTGTTCTTCCAGGCGCTGGCGTCAAGATGGAGCACTTTCAGGCCACCCTGGACCCAAGGAAGCAGGAGTTATTGGAGGCCCGCTTTCTCGGAGCAAGGGTGAGCTACATTTTCGGGCGCTCACGCGCACGCGTTTATGTATGCGCTCTCTCTTTGCTGCATTTTCCTTTTTTTTTTCTCTTCACTTTATCTTACACTTCGTAATCTTTCTCTCTCTGTTTACTCCTGATTCCCAACAACACATGCGCAGAAATCATCTATCATCCGATCTTGTGTGCATGTTCAGAAGTACAAAGATCACAGACCAATGGTATAGTCAGTGCAAATTTAAAGGAAGTTCGAATTGTATGGAACAGGGCCTCTTGAGTACTTGGGGAACTATGCTGATCGATCTTACAACGATCTCTTCTCGTCCTGATTTCGAGAATATACTGGTAGTAGCAGTGGTAGTGTAGCTCTATCTGGCAGAGAATATTTTTTTAGTGGAAATCTTTAGGGTCAGGTTGAAGAGGAAAGACATTACTGAGGATGATACCTTTAGTTGTCACTTGTTCACTTATAGTCTGTTCCACAAGAAAGTGTACGGCAGTATTTCTATAATACACAGCTTAGAAAAAAAAAAGAACTTTTGTACTCTAAAGTAGACTTAACACTAGAACTACCGACGATAAACGCATATTTGCTTCGATCGGTGAATAAACGTGAAAGATGTTTGAAAATTTAAAAATTTAGAAACTGACTAATTTTTTCACTTTCATATCGTAATAAAAGGTGCAAAAGATCTGAGAAAATCTATTGTTATAACATTTTAATCGTCGTTGTAAGAGTCTATTGACAAATCATTTTGACTTGCTTGGTAGTTTTAGCGTTAAAAATGCATTGCACAACTACCTAGTACAGACTCCTCTCGATTATTGTCCCTGGGTCTGCGCTGGGACAATAATCTTGTAGGGAGAAATGCTTTCAGACCTTCGTAAATTCGTTTTTTGTCAACAATGTATGCGCTTGACACGTTCCACGCCCCCTTCCCTAGTAGTGGGAATAATGCCTGGACAATAATCGTGTAGAACAAGCCAGACGATAATCGAGAGGAGTCTGTATGTAGTGAGTTCACTCGGCTGCATGGTCGATAATTACCTGCCACCTTCTTTGCACACTTTCCACGAGTTTTTCTGCGTATTCGCTGAATAAGGAGTGTCATACCTTTCTGATTCTGGTCGGTAGCTACTTGACCGTGTAAATGGGCTTTCCCCTGAGCGTAAACTTCATGTAGGACCCAACATTTTCCATAGGATTCGCAACTGGAAACGGTGTCGGCCAATCTATGGTAGTGATGTCATTTTGCAGTTGTTTGGGGTTGGTGTCTTTCTGAAATTTCCAGTGGCCCCTGTCTTGGCTAAACTATTTCTCAACAGACTCGAACAGGCACTTCTGATGAAGGGTTTTCCTCTAACAAGGGAAGTTCGGTAATCCGAAAATTCCGATTTTTTTAAAACTGCAGGTTTGTAGGGAACCCCAAGAGAAGTATAGCGCAATTTTTGTTTTTGGTCTAATTTCAGTTCTTCAGGGTGGAAACATCCCTTGAAGGTAGATAGGTGTTTCCATATTTCCCTGTATATCTTTAAAACTATCGTAGATATAAAAAAAATGTTTATAATAAAAATTGAATGGTTTTTTATGCTCTATAAAACGATGCAATTAAATTGATAATTAATAAAAGTGGGGGAGGGGTGTTTTTATTTAAACCAAGAATTTTTATCAATTTAATTGTATCGTTTTATAGAGCATAAAAAACCATTCAATTTCTCCTACGCCACTTTTTCCTCTAGCGGAAAGCTAGGAAAGGGTCTCGTACCGGGCTCCTACCACTTGGTATTGGGAATTACTGAAATTAATGCCAAATTAACATCCGATTTAACATTTATTTCATTACCTGAAATCAATTTACCAAGTGGCAGGAGGCCCTCCGCTTCCGCTAGGGGAAAATGTGAGGTTGGCAAAAGGCCTCCTACCATTTAGTTTTGAGAGTTACTGAAATATATGCCAAATTAATATTCGATTTAACATTTATTATAGTACTTGAAATAAATTTAGTAAGTGGTAGGAGACTTTTCTTCTGTGCCACTTTTTCCCCCTAGTGGAAGCCGAGTTTGCTCGTGAGTGTACTTCTGGACGAATGCCTTAGACTTCCTAAGTGCATTTGCAGCTTGTCTGAAGGGTAATTTTGGTCCATTCGCATGATCAACGAGAAACTCTGCTTCATTACGCTTGAGATATTTACTACTCATTGTATAAAACGTCCACTTATACGAAACTGACGATTAGCGTGATAACAAAGCAGACATTAAACAAAAGAACATAGTTCAAGCTTTCAAACGCCTCAAGACAGATGGCGCTGCGATTAGCCGTTCAAAAGTTCTGCTGCACACTTTCTTGTGGAACAGACTGTCACACAGGTCGCACCTTCTATAATATTTGTTTGACAGGCTGTTGTACTATAAGCAATCATAATCGTGAAAGTCCCTATTCAAGCTTTTTTCTCTATAATGGATTGTAAAGTTCGTAAGATGATCCAATTTGCTACACAAGTCCAGAATCAAAATTTAACAGCTCATATGTTCATTAAGCTAGAAAATCAAAAGTTTTGAAACTTTAAAGACTATCCAAATGGAAGTAGGTACACGAACACATTTCTATCTATTTTAGGTGTCCTCTTGGATGACGTCAACATTCACTAACAGTTCGCTCTCAACACTTTAGGAAAGTCTAAATTTTTTATTTTCTTCTATTTTTGACTGAGACTAATGATGTGAAAGAATCTGAGGAGAAGAATAATGCATGGAACAAAATTTTCATGGTTAATAATAAGTTGAACTGAGTTATTTGAAAGATAAAAGAAATTTGTCTTCGACCATTTAAGCTGCTAAATTTTTATTCTAGACCGCTGTGATGCGCACCAAAGGGCCCTTCTTCGATCAGAACAGCTGTTGTAGGCTACAAGGAGTGTGGGGTTTAGGGTTGATACCTTTACTAAGGCAGTTAACATGATCTAGCTGAATGATGTCCAGTTTGTCACCGCGTCTCCTTCGTCATGGTACTCACTGATCGTGCATCGACGGTAGTTCTTGCACTTATAAGATCTGTAACTTCGACTATAAGTCACGACAAGGTTGGCCACTCTTAGCAGCGTGTTTATAGACAGAGCATTTAGTGCCAAGTGATTCTATTGACTCATTGATTTTATTCTGAAGATTAACGAATTTCAGAAGGGTCTACTACACATTCTTTATTCCGAAACAATTTAAAGGTTAGCCACTGTCGATCATTCCCAGAAATGTGTTTATAGATAGAGCACCCACTCTTAAGTTTCTCATTGATTTCATTCTGAAGATTAACGATTGTCAGAAGGTTCTACTGCATATTTCTTACTTAGGAATACTTTAAAGGCTAGCCACTGTCGGTCATCCTCAGAAGCGTGTCTATAGACAGTGCATCCAGTGTTAAGTCCCTTATTGATTTTATTTTGAAGATTAAGCAATTTTAAAATGTTCTACTGCACATTCCTTATTGAGAAACAACTTAAGGGTTGCTCCTGATAGTTATCTCCAGAAATGTGTTTATAAACAGCGTCCAGTATTAAGTTTCCCATTGATTTTATTCTCAAGATTAGAGAATTTCAAAAAGTTGTACTGTATATTCCTTATTCAAAAATAATTTAAGGCTAGCCTTTGACGGTCCTCTCTAGAAATGTGTCTATAGACAGAGCATCTAGTGCCAAGTTTCTCATTGATATTATTCTGAAGATTAACGAATTTCAGAAGTACCTATTGCATGTTCTTTATCCAGGAACAATTTAAAGGCTAGTTATTGTCGATCATTCCCAGAAGTGTGCATATAGACAGAGCATCTAGTGTTGAGTCTCTCAATGATTTTGTTTTCATGATTAGAGAATTTCAGAAAGTTGTACTGCATATTCCTTATTCAGAAACAATTTAAAGGCACTGTTGATCATCTTCAGAAGTGTGTTTATAGACGGAGCATCCAGTGTCAAATCTCTCATTGATTTTATTCTAAAGATTATAGAATTTTAGAAGTTTCTACTCTATATTTCTTATTCAGAAACAATTTACATAATCATCCTCGTGATGTTCACAATTTTTAGAAGATCATCTTGAGGGTGAAATAACTCAAAACGCTAGCTAGATGTATGGTACGAATCGTTCGATGAGGATAGTAAATGAGATTACCGAGTGTGAGCGATATATAGAGCAACAGGAATCAGCTCGTTACCGATTACCCACAGTACATCGTAATTCCGCGGAATAAGTGGATAAAGAAACTTTTTTTTTTTAAATATCGTCTCATACTTTCGTGAACTTATTATCAAGGCTAAGGTGTTCTAAATGAAAAGGATTCCAGGCTCAACATTTTTTGATGAATTGAACCTTATTAGTCTCATTTTTGTCAGAACCACCTCATCGATGCGTTAGAATTACTTTCATAAGGATAAAAAAATATATAAATATTTAATTTTCTATCGATGAATGGCATTCCACGCGGTTACTTCATTGTGTTTGGTTGTTGTTTAGGTCGTAGTCGACGGCTCCCTTGCTCTCTGAAGAATTGTCTATGCTGTAGTGGGGATATCGAATTGTAATGTAAAAACATAAATATAATGAAAATAATCAAATAATATAACATTAAACGATACAAAAATAGAATAATATGAAATTAAATAATATAAAAAATAGAATAATATAAAATTAAACAATATACGAAATATAAAAATGAGGGGGGTCAGAAACTGTGTGAACGATTTTGTAGCAGAGACAAACTGTGGTTATTAAATGTTCTGCGCTTACTTCTTCGAACGTGATCTCAGAAAAGTATTTTTTCTTCTAAATAAGTTTTGGAATCTCTAAAAATAAGATATGATTAATTCGTGATAATTCGAATTTTTTTTGCAATGATCCAGATCTTATTTTGTACTTTATCGATAGTAGAATTTATTCAACTGTTCTCTGCACATTGTGTTAAATATATTATGTTAAATAATTTCTTTAATACTGGAACTACTCGTCAAAATGACGGCTTGCAGGTTTCTTATTTTATAATTACTAGAATTATAATAACGCGTTTAGAGGAAATTGTGTTGGCTTTTAATTTACATTTCATATGATACTGTATTATGCTAGATTGTATTATACGGGGTGATTCACCTAATGCTGCCACCTACATTACATGTAAAACAAAAGTTGTAAGGTATCAAGGCGAGCACACAATGTAATAATTAGTTTTTCTCTGTGTTGCTTTTTTATTGAGATATGAAGGTCATCTTGAGTTTTTTTTATTACAATGTGAAAAATTTGATTGTGGAATTACGTAACTTATTTACGTACTTAACATTTTGTGTGTTACTTACAATAAAAATCATTTAAAGAATATCTCTATAGTTAGTGGTTTTTGGACCTAATCATTTTTTATACAACGTTTAATACTCTTTCCGATTGCACGATAAAAATTTTCATATTATAATAAAAAAACTCAAGATGAGCGTTATATCTTGTTAAAAAAGCAAAATGGCAAGAAACAAATTATTACATTGTATGCCCCCCTTGATACCATGCAACTTTTGTTTAAATAATGTTTTTGTATAATGAACAGTTTACAAGTAATTTACGTGGCAGCGTGTTGATGAAAGTTATCCTGTATATTATGTATATCACTATATTATACAGTTTAATTTAGTATACTGTGAACACTGGTATTCCAGTATTAAAGCTATGAATACCATATTCGATCCTGAATTTTTTCTACGGAATACTTGACTATCTTCTACCCACTGAAGGTGAAAAATAGTCCGAAAATGATTTTGAGCGCGAAAAATTAAGAAAAGAAAGGAATCAATAATTTCAAAAATATTCACCAATACGATGTATACATGAAAACTGAACCGTATTAGTGAGAATTATTGATATTATAATAATAGAGTTTTTTAAATTATTTTTGTAACGAATTATACACAAACCTTTCCTATACTTCGTCATTCAATCATATTCATGTAATAATTAGTTGCACATGTTTTTCAATTCCATTTCTGATCCATGACAGTTTCTTGAAATATTTTTCACGACGTGTCTTCTATTTTGAATTCCCTTCAAGTACATAGGTACTGGTTTTTCTATTCTAAATTTCATTTAAACACTGGCTTTTCTATTTTGAATTTCCTTGAAATACTGGTTTTTCTATTTTAAATTTCCCGGAATCACAAGTCTTTCTATTTCGAATTTCCTTCAAATATTAGTTTTCCTATTTTAAATTTCCATCAAATACTGGTTTTTCTATTTTGAATTTCCTTTAAGCACTTGTTTGTGTAATCTACATTCTCTTCAAATACATGACCCAGTTATTTCAAAACTGTATCGCGTCAGGTCGTTGGTCTCCTAATATTATTACAGTGTATTTAATTTTCGGGTCCAGTCGATCTATGAAAATTTTAATGTCGAGAGTATTTTAAAGTAACTCATGATAAACTGCAGGCCACATTCTTGGCACACCGAACAATACAATTGTCTCGTTAAAAGCAGGAAGGGAGCGATGCTATTTTTGTAGTTAGAAGAAGTTATTTTTATAGTCGTTGATCATCCGGTACCTTATTGCGATTCTGAAGCACGTCAAACCATCCCAACAGTTTAAAATTCCTAACTGATATACAAGAAAAAGGTAAGAAACCAACAAAAAATTGGACGATTACTATATGTATTCTTTGAAATTACTTGTTCTTATTACATCACACGAGTGTTCGAATTTTTGCGATTTTGATAATCACAATAATTTCGAATTTATCCGTTTTGGCAAACGTACAAGTCAAACTAGAAATTACGGTATACCATTTCGCAATTCTTTATACACACGTATACCATTTCTACAGCTTAGATGATTTCATATAAGTATAAAGAAAAATATGGACATATTTTTAATACTGCTTTAGTTATTGATATATGAGCTGTTCCTTTGCTAAAGTGATTAACTTCACAAAATTTATATTAAAAATTCTATATTATATTTGTATTAATATAATATAATAAAATATATCTATTTTACATTTTATTTAAAAGTTATTTTAAATATAGAAATTTAAGCACCAACGAAGTGTTTTGGCACTACAAATTTACAGAATTTAACAAATAGAATTAGTCACTTTGGCCTGTCTCATGACCAATTGCAATAATACCGAATATGGTTGCTTGGTTACAAATAAATAAAGGTAAATTAGAAATTTATATCCTTTTCACTAACATATAAAGTGACTCTATACTGGTTGGATACCTATCAGGGCAATAGTGTATCATGGAAAAATAAGTCGATCATCTCTAATAAAATGTTTACAAATAGGGTTTTGGTTACAAGAAAAATGATTTTAAAGACTTGTTTTGTACTAATGCTGCTGAATAGCAGTGTCGGACAAATTTTATCATTCTCGAATAAGTTCTTCTTATATGCAACGTTTAATCCAACATTTTTCGAATAAAATTTTATTCGAATATTTCTTAAAAAAATAATTCCTAATAACATTTTTATTCGAATAATTCCTAAGTCTGCTGAATAAGATTCGTTTAATGTGTCCGACCATCACTTTCAGGTTCTACTTAGGATATTCTATTAGAATGTTGCACAAAAAATGTTGTTTTTCAGTTATCTTAATTTTTTACCAAACTTGTACGAATGAGCTTGTAATTTGTCTGCAAAAATGTGTCAGCTCAAATCCATCTTACTCCGATTAAAAATCTGCTCTATTTTGGTGATTAAAAATCGTTGAAAGTCTACGGCTCAAAAACAACATTAATTATGCAACAAATTGTCTTATCAATTAGATGATTTTGAAAACATAATCGGAATAATTATTACTTTATTTATTTCTTGGAGTCTTGGGAGGATCAACGAACAGTTTCTTTCAATTCATTCAGGAAGGAGGTTCATTGCAATTAAAATGAAATATCTTGAAAATAGACAAAACTTTCAAAATTCTGTAGCTGAACGCGTGAGGGACGTACCAAGGTCACATTTGATTTTTCAAATAGATTGATATAGTTTTTAATGCATTGATCGATGCTGCTCGACATTCCTTGTAAAAAAGTATTAAGCTATTTATGCCGAGAAACCATTAGTTTAGAAGGTACAGTAAGGTCTCGATAACTGCGCGGAAGAATCTCTATGTTAAATGCTTCTGCTTCATCCCCACTACTGAGGGATTCCACACTGGAGGCTCAGCCTGAAATGCAGTTTATGAAGTTCAGAAATCGTGTTCTTCTGCGATAACTGCTGCAAAACAGTCCTGGGTATCGAGCGTTAATCGGAGATTTACTGTATTTTAATTTGAAAATTGCGCACGATACTACTCACGATATCCAGCATTGAACGGGAATTTTAAGGAGTTAAACATCCTATTAGTCTTAGATTTAATAGTCGGTTGGACCATTTTTAACTATCGAAAGGCGAATTGTACGGACGTGACGCGGTGTTTGAATGCAGGGCCACTTTGACCTATGGTAATTTACACGTAATTTTATAAATATTTTGATGCAATTCAAAATATACAAAAAGCCCCTGATCTAGCAAATGAACCTCTTAAGAATAGTAAACTTCCAGGACTGTTTCGAGGAATTGGTGAAACGTCTGTCTCTGTGCGAACGTAATAATATTTCAATACCATTGTTCCTCTTTTGAGTGGATTTACGAACGTAGAATCAAATGGTCCTCAAAATGGCCCTGCATCCAACGAACGAAGGTTTAATAGTCTCACGGGATTCTTTTTCTATAATTGAAATGCATTCGACAATTCTGTGTTGATGTTGCTCCATTGAAAAGATTTTTTTTTTTTTTTAATTTGCCGCTTATTTCTTACGTTGTGTTTTTTAATGGACTTCTTTATTTCTTCTCGTAAGTGTCCAATGGGGTTCATTTCTGGTGACTGAGAGGATGAGTGAAGCAATTTCGGTACGTTTTAATCGTCATTCCTTAAAATTTACTTGCTTAATAAGCGTGTGCTGTTTTTTTTTGTTTTGAACGATTTATCGATACTATTAGTCGAAAGGCGTGGCAGAGAGTCATTTTTTTCGACTCATTGATCAACCTTTTTCGTTTGAATTGGATGGTATATTTTCATTGCTGAGATATTGTAGCCGATAAAAAGAAAAACAAATTTCTCCTATGAATGATACATTGACCTTTACATGACTCGTCATTTTCCCATTTTTATTTTCTTTAATGTTTCTTTAATGTTTTAGTAGGATTATTAATTTGTAGTACAACTATGATTCGACGTCAATGGTCATTATTTTGTACACAGTCTTTAGTTCGTGTAAATTTAAAAATATTAAATGGATAAATCTTAAATAATCTTTTTGTGTAGAATTATTGTTTTATAAGAATTATTCCTCAAAAGGTCATCCAAAGGTGAAACGATGAATTTGTATTTTTTTTATCAGCAACAATATTACCGTAATGGAAATATACCATCCCTTTAAAAAAACATACGTGTGACCTTGAAATTCCGGAAAATATAACCTTGAGAATAAAATAGAATATTCTTTGTTGGAATGTTTACTCCGAACGAATGCTCTGAATCTTTGAATCATAGGTGACCCTGTTATTTACTTACATACAAAGGGAGTCCGAAAAAGTGTAGTAATATCGAGTTTTATAATAATAATAATTTTAAATTATAGATATATTTTTAATAACCAAAGTTTTACATTATAAATACATTTTTTTTAAAATAAGGCTTCGTTTCCGGGAAAATCGATTTTGAAAATATACTTCATTTGCTATATAAATATATATGCTATTTGTTCTTTTCTTTTCGTTTTCTGTGAGAAATAACGACGAAATGTACGAACAAGCACGAAGTCCATTTTCAGGTATTGTAAAAAAATTACACTACTTCGTCTGGGAAATTGTATAGCATCTACCCAATTAATTGAACTTTGCCCTGTGAGATGATTATTCCTATCGATCGCTGAAATATTCTGTATCAAGAAAAATAGTTCGAAAATGAAATCTATCTAGAAAAAAGTTAAAAAGGTTTTTATTTAGACAAACCATGAAAGGTGTATATAATTAGTACAATTAAATTAAATAAGAAATAAGAAGAAATTGTAACAAAAGAGTAGTGAATAAGAATATATAGATTGTAACTTTCCGAACAACCCAATATTAACACTATGATCGCTAAACTCGACTTTTATTTATGGAGTCATATCAAATCGATAGTCTATTTCGAACACATAACGAGTATCGAACCCTTAAAGGAGAAGATTGTCCTTACATCTAGAAACTGAAAGAGTCTCGATAATATTAGAATGTGTTCGTAGTAGTGTAGTACGAAGGTCCGACATATACAGGGTGTCTCATTAAAATCGACCCACTAGAATATCTCCGAAACTATTGACGATATTAAACAATGTTACATTAAAAGTTAAATGCTATCAGCGTAGAGGACATATGAAGGTCAGCTTTGTTTTTTAAAATAACATGTTTTTTAGTGGATTAATTCGCCATAAGTGACTTAGTACTTTATGTAGGGAATAACGAATAGCATCAAGTAGTGCATTAAAAAATATATGACTCCATCTAAATAAATAAAGTTGACCTTCATATGACCTCTACGTGTCCACATAGAAAAACGTTACATCAGAAAATTTTCCGTGTGATACCATTTAACTTTTGTCTGAAACATTTTTTAATATCGTCAATAGTTTTGGAGATATTCGAGTGGGTTAATTCAAATAGGACACCCTGTATATGCTACAATTTGGTCAGCACTTCCAGCAGTTTCAGGAATAATAATATAAAACCTTTAGAAAACAAATACATTTTTTTTTCACCCTGATAAAATAGTAGATACTACTGAAAGGGAAACATACATCAAGTCCATTGATTCATTACTTAAAAGTTAACTCTTTTCCTTTCCTCGAAAAACAAGCCTTATTCAACAAAATTTTATTCTTCATCTTCGACTTATTTTTTTCATCGAAAATCACATTCTTCTCGATGGTACTACATTTTTCGGGACACCCTGTATAGCTAATACTGTTTGTTTATTCATTGGCTGTTTACAAATGTCGATGATTCACGGCTGATTCAGCATCAACATCTACCGGTTAAACACGCTTTTACTAAAAGTTTCGAAATTTTTATAAATATATATTTTTTTAGTGAAATCAGACGTTTTGGACGATCAGACTCTTATGTTAAAACACGGTGAAAATCGAACTAAATTCGGCAAAATGACCGAATAATAGCTTACAGTAACTGACCAAATAATCTCTGCCGAGAGGAGAGATAATTTCATCTCGCTGTTATACTGTTCCCAATCCATTATCTCGAGTAGCGTTTAAATCGCCTATTATGAGAGTATTATGAGAATAATCATTTAACTGCAAGAACGTAACATTCCAGCGAAAAGTTAGCTAGTTAAAAAAGTAAGCTATTATAATTATAGTAACGTTATAACAAAATAGCAATGAGGGTCATTTCACTTCCGTGCAAATCTAAATACAGTAAATCCCCGAAGAGTGTTCGAAGGCTCCTCGGCACTGAACAATAAATATTTTATAAACTAATGGCTATATGGGACTAAAACAAATATCATTGGCTTCAGAATTCCAAGCTTTATCAACGTGCTAAGTTTTATTAAAAAGTCAGCGTTACACCTAGGGAGTGCCGTGGAGCCTTCGAATACTTATCGAGGATTTACTGTCCATATTCGGGGGGTTCCATTTTAGGATTCGGTAAATCATCATTTTACTTGCTTCGAAGTTCTTTAACCGTCAGCTGGCAGTGGTTGGGTCCATTTTGACCCAGGATTTCATAACCTTCACGCACCATTCAAGTTTACAAAAACCATCTCGAACGTACAGTTGTGTACCATTTTTATTTTATAAGAAATTCGTTCCGAAACATATCTAAAGAGGGATGAGTATAGGGGTCTGTCTAGACCCAGGTACCGTCATCGTATGCCGTAATGCAAATAACTTAATGAAATAAATGTATCTTATCGTGATACTGCCTCAAGAGTAAAAAAAAAAAGAACTACGACCATTCAACGTGTTAACATTAAGGTGCGTATCCATTTGTAGCGTATCTACGTTGCGTATCATTGTATCGTTTGCATCACATTTTCAATTGTGAAATTTTCTCAACGCTTGCCGGTCCACATTGACACACAACGGTGATTCGGTACGAGGATACGCAACCAGTGGATACGCACTTTTAAATGCTTTAAAAGAATGTGCGAACAAATCGATTGTTTTTCACTGGGGACATGGGAAAATCGTCATAAGAACGCATCGTGCCTTCATAAACGATTGAAATGGCTTTAATCGCGTAATTAAGTTTGCCCAGAATGCAACGGATCGAAGTCGGTAAAAGTTACAGTGGTGTCTACTGTCAACTATGTATATATTCCTGTTTCTTTACATCTCCTTTATTAATGTTTGAAATAATATACAAACAAATATATTTTAAAATATAAGGTGAGGCGCCTAGAACAGACCAAACTTGCATGGTATTGAGAAGCACATAATTTTATGTGGATAGTCTTTTGATAGGTGGACACGTAGAGGTCATATGAAGGTCAACTTTGTTTTTTAAAATGGAAAGACATGTTTTTTACGTACTTTCATAAATAGGTCATTGTACGCGTATTAAAACGCTCTACTGGGTGGTATGTAAAACAACATGCCTTTCCATTTAAAAAAAACGAAGTTGACCTTCACATCACCTCTACGCGTCCACCTATTAAAGAACTATTTACTTCAAATTTCCTGCTCCTCGATACCATGCAAGTTTGGTCTGACACATTTTTTCTATCATCACTAACAGCTAAGACATTCCGGTGCATCACCCTGTACATTCCTAATTGTTAAACGATAATTGTTCCCACTTACAATTTCAAATTCATATTTTTCCATATTCAAAGAAATTAACTGGTTTCGATAAAAAAAAGTAGTTTACAATGAATCCTCAAACCTGCTCGTCACTACTAAAGTTTTTTCCATTTAATGGAAGGAATTAAATATCTATAAAATTATTTTCAAAACGCAGAGACGCGACGATATACAGGGTGATTCAGCGAAAGCTGCCACCTGAATCACTTGCAAACTATTTGTTATATGAAGAAATATGTCAAGCAAAAGTTGTAAGGTATCAAAGGGGCATACGATCTAATAATTAGTTTTTCGCCATTGTGATTTTTATCTAGATATGAAGCTCACGTTGAGTTTTTTTATTGTAACGTGAAAATTTTTATCGTACTGTTGGAAAGACTGTTGAACACTGAGTAAAAAAATATTGGTGTATATAGGTCCAAAAACTAATAATTACTGAGATATTCTTCATAAATTTACAATAAAAAAAACTCAAGGTGTGCTCCATAATTCGATAAAAAAAGCAAAATTACAAAAAACTAATTATTACATTGTGTGACACCCTTGATACCTTATAATTTTTATTCGAAACATTTTTTGATATAACAAATAATTTACAAGTAAATTAGATGGTAGTTTTAGGTGAATCATCAATAGCGAGTTTTGGAAAATCGTGTATATTATGAATGCATAACATCTACACTCTAACTTATAATTCTAATAATTGACATCAATTATAAATAGTTACATTAATACACCCTTGAGACCTTTTCTTCGTCGAATAATATTTGACAAACGATCTTAAATCGTACCTGTATATTTTTTGTTCATTAATTTTCCACTTTACGCCTTCTAATAGTTAAATTTTTCTTTTATGTCCATTCACATTACTAAAACGTCTTATATACGCATGTATAAATTTCTTAACTACTCAGTCGAAACACTTTCTGTTACATTCAGGTCAGATAAATGGGCAGAACATTCCAGACCTTGTATTTGTTTGGATAACAAAAATATTCAACGCCTAACTTCGAGGTGGGTACTGCATTATCATCCTGAAAATTATTG